GTGAAAAAAATTGCATACATACACATTTAAAGTATTTAGATTATAAAAACTAATGTGAGAGAGAAAAGACAAAATATAATTTTAATCATATTCATTCATTTAAATATTTTGTTCTTTGCAATCGTGTATTTTTTAAATTAAAAATAGATTTAATAATTTTTTGTTAAAAGATAACTGATTCTATTAATAAATAATTTTTATGGGATGTTGAAATTAATACTTCTGATACAGTTTCAAGACTGTATCGTCTAATATCGAAGACTATTATTTATTCTTTACATTGATAATGAATTTTGTTTCATAAATAAAATATATCCGGCAACTTCCATTATACATTTTTTTTTTTCAATTATTTATATGTCAAAATTAATAACATTTTAAATTTTCGTGTGTATATGTGCATAAATTATTATTTTCACTTAACAATCGTAACTTATTAAACTTATTATTATATTTATATATATATTAACTTAATTATTTTATTTAGCGAATAATTTGTTTTTTTCTTTACTTCCCTATCTTTATTAAGTTTTCGTAATCCTTAGCATCTAATTATGTTTACTAATCAAGTTATTAGCGTATATATAATTATAGATATAAATTTGATAAATTAATAATCACTTTTTCATGTATTGCTTGACTAAATTAATTATTCAGTGTATCAATGATTTACTCTATAATCGAACAAATTATTAGCATTTTATACAATATAATAATATCCAATTAAAGTATATTACCATAATTAAGTGAACAAATTGGCTTTATCTGTATTATCGTACAAAGACAATACATATAGTTTTGTCTATATTGCCGTGTGTTTATAGTTTATAGCATAGGTTTGCGCATCGTGATATCGGTAATCGTAATTTGCGATAATGAGATTGAGTAAGCCGCGCGCGGTTAAAATCTTGATTTCATCCTTACTCTGTAATGTCGAGACGTTCGAGCGCCAGCTTCAGGTTCTTAATAGCCAGTCGCTTATTGTCGGCGTCCCGTCGCAACCTTTGAAGCCGTTCCTCGGCCGCTTTCCTGTCGGCCTCGGTCAAGGGTGGCGCGCCATTGCGTAATGCCAGTCTATTGCTCAGCGTGTTGCAGAGCTGGCCCTTGAGCCTGAAAAATAACAAAAGGCATGAATCGTGCCGAAGAAAGAAAATACTTTTGTGCTTCCTATTGTCTGCACTCTGATCTTAGAAATATACATTGAGATTTTGATAGATCTTTGATGAAGCTTTTTATTTTGGTAGATTCACTATCTATAAAATTGATATATTATTTTTAACAATAGATCATAAGCTTTAGTTAAAAAAAGTAGAGCATAAAGTGTTTTTAATATTTTTACCATTATTGTGTATTATATATAGGATACTTTGCTTGTATCGCATTTTTTATGTTTTAATAACAGTTTCTTCTGTCAAATTTTCAAATAAAATCTTCTTTTCAAAAAATTTGTCGTTAGTATTACTGTACAAAAAAAAATAAAAAATCGTCTCTCATTAGCACATATCGAACGATATGAAATAATTTGTAGAAAGAGAGAAATTTAAAAAAGTTTTAATAAGAAAAATATTAATGACATACAATATTTTTCTCTGCAATTCTTTTATTTCTTAAGACGAGCGATATGCTAGCAATTTACCTATGCAGAAAGCGAAGAAATTGCTCCGACAAATCAATTCTGAAAGATTTACTATCTCTAAAAAGAGGAATTTGTTTTTTTTTTTAATTACGATGGTATTTATTTAGAAAAGTCCGGTTCTTACGTTTCTCTTTAAAGGATATAAAGTCCGCTCCTTGGCCATTTATTATTTCTGCGCGCGATCATTATAATAAAGGAATAGGACGTGATCAATTGCTATACCGCCGATCTTTCTCTCTCAATGCCGACCGTATGTCTCAAGGATGTGTAATCAAGCAATTACTTACGTCTGTATGATGTTTTCTTTGTCGCGCAGAGCGACTCGGAGAGCGTCCAATTCTTTATAATGATCTCTATTCCGATGAGCGGGGGAGGTAACGCCTCCGGAAACACTGCCGCCTTTTTTCCGCCTCGGAGTCGTCGACAGAGATACCTCTATACTGGCCATCTGTAATATGTATAAAGATATAATTACAAGTTAATTAAAAAAAAAAAAAAATTTTTTAACGGCGATATGTTTAATATTGTAAATTTGTAAATTCGGTTTATACTTAAAACTTAGATTGGCATGTCGTTGTATTTATTCTGTATCTCCTTCCTGATGTAAAAATATTTATTTTTACGTTTATTTATACATATATAGTACCAAATAATTATTTAAAGTTATTAATAAAGTTTACGAAATTTATAGAACCAGTGGAACATGATGAATTTGTAACATCTTCTCCAAGATGCTACAAGTTTAATTAACTGTTTTTCTAAGGTAGCTAGGAAGAGAGAGAGAGAGAGAGAGAAAGAGAGAAAAAGTAACTATCTCTCATCTTTTTGATATACTGGATACATTATATATATTCCATTTTATCACATGCACGAACAAGCAAAGCAATTTACCTAACGATGAAGGGCATAGGTCTCACAGGACAACGTCGCGAATAATTTCTCGGACATGAATATTTATAATTCGTGCTTGTGGAAAATTATAAGTCTATCGTTACCCGCGTATAATCCGTTGTTTCATGCTGTGAACATTTATCAAAAAAATAGAAACCATAATAAAAAATATAAAACTCTTGTTATAATGTATTGAATATAATTTCGAGCATAATATATAATTAGCTTTTTAATTATTTTTCATGTATTATTTGTATAATTACAAAACAGTTGTCGCTATAAAAATGCTAATAACTGATGAATTAACTTTAAATAAATAATATTATATAAGAAAAATCGAGACAAAATCGAAGATATTAACAAATTCTTTTTATATTAACATAAAAAAATATTCAAAAATATAATATTTATTATTAACGTAAGAAAAAAGAGACAGAAAGAGAGAAAAATATATATCTTTGAAATTAGAGATGTACTCGTACAAGATTAATAAATATTTAACAACTTTAATTTTTATAGCTGGTACGATTCTACTATTGAGGGTTGTGAGGTAATAAAATTTTAGTACGAAAGACTTACATAAAATGTTACGTAAGCTATGTAAAACAGAGATAGAAGCATTTGTGTCGGTGAGAGCTTCTATTTTATTTTTCACGTGTTTGTATTAGTGTGTAGCTCCTCTGTTCTTTCTTTTGCGCTGTATTCGACAGCATCCACGACGGAGGTGCTGGCAAGAAACGCTGGCACCTATCAATTATTCGGATTCTATGGTGCGCGCATCATCTCGTCGGAAAGTCCTCATTGCGCCACGGTACAACCTTTCGCTCCTCTTTTTCACGACATCCGTGGCACACACGGACACGATTTGATGGCGAGAGCGGGGTTTCGCGGGGGTGGATCGGCACGCGGCATGAATACAAATTTATCGTTCCATTAAACCTATGATTTGCGACGATAGTCGGGACGGGATGTCTCGGGATGCCTTAATGGGCTTCCAGCATCGGTACTGCACACGACGACGATCCTCGATGGTCCTTGAGAAGACAGCACCTACGGCCCCTCTCGCTGGCCGGCGCAGGAAGGTCAATGCCGGACCCCGAGTCTGCACCGAGGGCCTCATCGACCGATACATACCGAGGTCTCTACTCTCGCGAGTGCGGTATGTCCTAGACCGGACCACCAGCCAGGCGCTCGTATAAAGAAAATCGACTATAAACCGAATGTTTCTTTTTGGTCAGAGAGGGACGCCATTCGCTCATGATTAATCTTTCCGCATTTTCTCACGTGGTTTATGAGATCCGTAAAAAGAAAACGGTTACCTCCGCGACGAACGAGGAATAAATAAGTTTTATTTTATCGTTAACAGTTAATATGTAACGCGTGAAAATCTATAAATACTTTCGATTTACATAATCTTTTTTGTCATTTAATTTTACATCCGTAAGGAAAGATCATCGTGATTCAGAATCAGAAATTATCGCAGATATCTTTTTAATGTCTTTTATGTAATCTGTATTCATCCAAAATATATTATTTGCTTTTACGTGCGAGAAAAATTATTTAATCGAGGAAGAACATTCTTACGATAAAAATATTTATAATTATTAACGACTCTTCGATTCCTACCAATTTTTTGTCTCATGCATTGTCAAGAAAAGGGTCGAGAATCGTTGAACTCTGAACCGCGAAGAATTCTGCAAGTCGTGGCAGTGGACGTTCCCGCGGGAATATCCGGTGCATCCGGTTCATCGTTCCGAGATGCCCGGTTGGTGGTCCGTTGTCTCGGCCGAGACACACACTATGCCCACGATACTACCATATCGCGTCCGCCTCCATCATGAGAGTACACACTCGACGAGGGGTAACATCGACCTCCGTTGCATCGCCAGGAGGGACAGAGTATCCTCTCAAGGACCATGTATCAAGGACCGCGGTACCGTGACTTCGAATCTCTCCCGAAGGGTCATAGGTCTCGAAACCCTTGACTCGCGAGTTCTGTCTCGCGGGAGAGATACGTGGAACGAATTTGCGGGAATCGACGATTCTTCATTAAGAAACCGTGAACCGAGAGACGCTCACACAATCAGTGTTCCCGCGAGAAGTAACGATCGTGCCTTAATTATGCACTTTCTTTGCTCATCGGGGCGATTGTACACATACGTTCTTGAGGCTGTTAACGACCGATTACTTTAGTATATCAAGATTTCACTCTTGAATAGATTGAAGACATTTATTGCTTTTTGTTCTTTTCATTCTACGAGACCTGTTGTTAATGCAAGAATGATATAAAATACTTATTTCTTTGGTTTATTTTAGAAAATTTCAGTAATTTTTTTATTATGATACCGCCATCATTTATGAAGTACTTCGTTTTTATATTTTATATATTTTTATTTTTTTTTGTAATAATATTATTATGATATATGCAATTCCTCTTTAGCTTGCAACTGACAGTTGTACGACACTTCAAAAATAATCATAATATTAATATAATATTAAAATATGCAACCAAAGTTAGATAGTATACATTTATCGTATTTATTCTTATTTGTTTCCTCGCGATCTAAAAAGTCATCTCTGAAGGCCACTTGTCGGCGCAACACATCATACAAAGGTTTCCAGATCTTTTAATAATTTCTCGAGAGAACGCCGCCTCGTTCGTTTCGCAAGTATTAGACTCTTATAGCACCGTAGTCACTGATTTAGTATCAAGCAAGTCCGTGTACATTTGTTTTCGAGCCTGTGTAAGATAAGCGGTCCCCCGGCGCGACACTTCTCAGCCGTGAGAAGGAGAAGGTCCTCTCTCTCTCGTGTGCTGTAAGCTAGCTACTCGACGTGTTCGCCCATGGGATTATCGCATACGGAGATTTACGGGACACGCCGGTATCCCACAACAGGATAACGCGGCTTGGTAATAGCTGGACCCAGCGATCCTATTACGTCTCAAAGCCAAGGGACTACTGTCGCCGATGGGACCGACGTGTCGGCCAATTAGCTCGCAACGGCCGAAATATTCGCATTACCGTACGAGATTTCATACCAATTATTTTTATAGCGGTGCAATTTCGTTGATTACGGCCTTAACGTCCTCGGGAAAACACTTATAACATTCTGCAATTTCATTTATACTCTTTTTTTTTTTTTTGCTTTTTAGACGGAATCATAATCTATCTATTCGATATATTCGATGAGCACAAGAAAGAATTGTTTAAATTTAAGATGTGAAAGTGTTTATTGACGTTGCTCTAAAATTAAAGATGTTCTTCGAGCTTGAAAAATCCAGGAAGAAAGAAACCTTTTGCAAGACGCAAAAGTAGCAATTTGAGAAAAATCTCGAGTTGATTGCAAATAGCATATTTGTTATCCCGATACTAATGCAGAATCACTAATGTGCAAAGTTTCATATGTAATATAAATTAATATATCTGAGATACTGTAATTTTTAGAAAAATATGTAGATCCTTCAAAAGAATTGTCACTTTCAAGCAATTTTGCAGATTTTTTACAATTTTAATTACGTTTTAATGCATGTATAACAGATTCTACTGTCATTATATTTAGTTTTTTCTTCTTGACGTTTCTTCTTTTTTAATTTTTGACAAAGAGAAAGAAGTTATACAACAGATAATTTTTATTATTTTTAATAAATTTGATCTTCAGTGACTCTATTATGATTTCCAAACTTTGAAGAAATAAGATTGAGAGTGATGAGACACAATTATGAATTATCTCTTTTTTTACCAGATTTACGAAATATGTATTGAAAATGAAAGTTGCCTAAAGTTTTGTCTCTATTATAGTTTTTAATGATAGATCGAAACATTTATTTAGAGACGTCATCCAGTGGCATTCAGTTTATTTAAAGTGATAAGTAAAATATTATTATATACTATTTAAGTAAAAAGCTTGTTTCTTACATGGACGATTTGACAATGAGATTTATGTCCATCACTTGCCATTCTCGTATTAATCTTCAATTATATTCTCATGTAAGCTTTCGTAATTTTTTCCTTATATTTTTCATCTACGTTAATCGCTCATAGTAATTCTCATTTCGACAACGATGTTATAAAAGAAATGTTACGGAAATTAACACCTGTCATACGAAAGAGTGAAACATATGCGAGAGATTTTTTCAAGATACCGATAATTCCCGGTTTCCGCGAAGTTTAAATCAATTTTCTTACGCTACAGGCATATTAGAAGAATCCGGTATCGTCAATAAATAATGATCTCGACTAACTCCCGCAATTAGCAAGTGAACAAGATGTAGAAGATAACGACTGGGATAGCGCAATTAATTCTGGCTGACACGGATGGTCGTTAGCATCGTCTCGAGAATATATGGAATCTTCATCTTCTTTATAATTCCGAATACGTAATCATTGTTCTGTCACGACTTAATTCAATTCGAAATAATGTGAGCAAAGCGCGACTCCCTGCTTTCTCTCTCAAGTGATACGTGACAGTTCCTTGTAGTCTAAGTATATAAAAGCGGACCTTTTACATAATTAACTTGCGCGAGAGCGATATTATCCTTTTCAATGCGTGAGTGCGTGCGTGCGTGCGCAAAAGCGTCGACGCGCGTTTCCTTTTCCGCGGACAGTTTCTCATCTCGAATCACCGTCACAGAGATTTCCCGGAAACCGACGACGGGATACCCGGCGGCACGAAAAACGCGGGAGCACTTGAGAACAATGATGTCGCGCTGCTAGGAATTGTTCACGGTAAAATCGCCGTGCGGACGGCTATTTCTCTCTGGCAAACTTCTTGCTCCCATGGGTAAGAGGAGACAGGATTGCCTTTCTGCTACAGAGAAATCTTGTATTAAAAATCTAGAGATACATTTACGTGTGACTGAGTAACATCGTACGATATCGTTATATATTTTAATGAAACCCTGTCATGTGATACAAACTATATTTTGTGTAAAAATTTATATCTCGAGAAAATGTCTTATAATATCGATATCATTGTGAACGATTCAAATAGTAGAGCTTTAAAGAACAGAGAGAAAAAAGAGCTTTATCCGTATTCTTCTCGAGTCTAGAAGTCAGCGGATTCATACGAAATATATTCAGTATATTTACGCATGTTTCAACCTACATATGGGTTAACAAAGGACTCCTTGTGTATGCGACCTTCGTCGTGAAGTGCCTGCTTTCCATAAACACGACTTTTCGCCATCGTGATGTCAAAGATCAGCAACAAAGATACCATAAATCGCGTTCCTTTTTTTTTTAGCATAATCAGAAGTTATCGCGCCGATAAACGGATTGAAATTAGCTCATTAGTGATTTTGCACTGGTATCGCGATAACAAATATGCTATTTGCAATCAACTCGAGATTTTTCTCAAAAGTCTACTTTCGTATCTTGCAAAAAGTTTCTTTTTTCCTGGATTTTTCAAGCTCGAAAAAAACATCTTTAATTTTAGAGGAATGTCGATAAACTTTCACACCTTAAGTTTAAACAATCATTTCTTTCTTTACAGAATTGAAATTAAGAAACAAAGAGTAACTTCAACCATGACTAAAATTACAAAGTACAATAGTTAATAAAATAATCGGTGCTGATGAAACTAGTCGTAAATCCCTGATTGTATATGATGTATAATTGATTTCTCTCGAACTCTCTTAACTTATGAATGAAAACTATACAGGAACGAGACTTTGTACTTAACAGCTATTACTTAGCCGATCCTAAATTGGATTTATACGAAAGTCGAAATCCTGTCGCAAGTTTCTACCTATTCTGTCCGCGAGCGAGTCTATCGTGCACACGTGGACGAGGATAAAGCAAATCCCCGAGGGGGTATGTATGTTGCGTGTGAATAACCCCGCTAACCTTTCGCAGAAATCATATCGATTCAATGTATAGCTCTTTATATTTAGAGAAATTCAGAGATTTGCGACAGACGTTGCGTATGGAAAGAAATGAAAGAAAAAGAGAATTATTGAATTATATATAATAACGTGCGCATTGATAATGTTGTTTGCCGCGAAGAAAATAGTTGACTAATTTATTGCTTTCATGAATGATTATCGCGGAAATAAATTAAGAGAACATCAAACAAAAAGGTGAGCTTGCAAAAAAAAAAAAAATAATTTATATCATATGTAATTTAATATTTCAAGTAATTCACACACAATCTTAATAAATATACATCAGCTATCCTGTAAAATATTAATGTATTGTATAATATAAATTCGAAGGTAATATATATAAGCTATTCTTTGATAAACATTTTATTAAACTCTCTTTTCTTTTTTGCGTAACTTTTCATATAATATTAAATATGAAATATAAGAACGTTTCAAGGCGAAAGTCTATATAGCTGTAAAAGTAAATTTTTGTAATACAAAGAAGCTTGGGTCGCAACGTCAAAGGAAAAATGTGTGTGTTTCCAAAGTTAACGTACTTTCTATAAACACCGCAATGTGCATATTCTCTTTCCAATTCAATTTCTTTTCATCCGCGACGACGTGATATACATCAATATCAAAGCTTATTCGAGCAAAAAAGAAAAAGTGAGTGAGTGAGTGCAAAAGCACGTCTTAGATAACGAGAGGTAGCGACGAAAAAATTCTTATTGAAACCGAGCATGCGGGAGAGAAGAATAAGCAAACCGCACAGCAAGATACGATACATCGTTGCATTCGATAGGAACATTTGTTTTGGAATACATCTAGCAGAAGAAGAGGCGAGTCGTGACCCGAGGCGCGATGTATCGATGCTAACATTTATCTCGGGGCACGAGGTAGAAACGCACGATCAATACACACGTGGATCGAAACTCGCGATAATTCTTCCCTCGAAAGTGTCGATTCCATCGTTTTCGTTCCGCTGACGAGTTTCAACCCGAATGCGAATCTCGTTGGCGCTTCCTTATCGCGGCTGGCGTATTCTTAGCAGGATAGATTGGTACGATTAAGAAGATTGGCGCGCGGAAGAGGCAGACGCGGCCTCGAAATAAATCCGGCCGCTCTAAAACCTTGATCCGTGACTATAACACGGGTGACTGAGAATGAATGAATCATTGCCGAATTATACTCCGAAAGCATTATAAATGCGAGTTGTTAAAAATATTACGTTATACGCGCGTATATCTAGTGCAAACTCAATTATAGCTTATTATATGCATTCTAAATCTGTTTCACTGTCATTACACGATTGTAATTATAGATCTTTTACATATTAATTAATTTTCAATAATATATTATTTGATGTTATGCAGATAATTAAAATGGCAAACGCGCAGACATGTTCCGCGATGCAGAACGTACTTTCAACAAAGCAATCTCGAATATTTTTTTTTGTAAAGCGATACCGATATATGCGAGAAGTATGTGGCGTTATAATGGCCCTCTAAATAACGAGATAATAGAGACACGTATGTGAGTGTTACTTCCAGATCGCATCTTCCAGACACCTACCTCTCCGGCTTGCGCAGAAGTGGAAATGAATGGGCTGCGAAACCGCCTGGGGCATTCCGCGAATTTCTCGACGCGCAACTGCATCACACACATCGCGGCAAAGGAACAAAAACAGCGTAAGCACGCAGGAAACGAAAATTTATTGCGGAATTTGCTGGAAAGAGGACCGGCATTTCCGAGAAATAAGACGCCGCGCTGTTTCTCAACGAGGCGAAGTTTATAAACGCGGTTCGTCGTTTCTCGAAAAGAGAAACTTTACCGTTGCACGAGATAATCGTATCTTCGGTCGAAAAATTGCAATTGCGAGTTCTCATTATTTTTTAACGCTATTAAAAAAAAAAAAATTATTAATGTTGCTTGAAAAATTTTATTTATTTATATGAAAAAAGAAATATAATTTTTTGCATATTTCATCGTTCTTCTATTTTATCGGGTCTGACAAGTATGAAGATTTCTTTTCTGCGTTCATATATTTCGATTTGCAAAACGAGAATTTGACGACACGAGCGGTAGCGAGGTTATCGGGGGGGCAACAATCCTGTATTCTCTACCAAGTAGAACTTGGTCGAAAGTATCGGCGCTCAGACAGCTAAGGGCAGTGACTCCCGGGATCGCAATCTTGCTTGGCAGATCTGTCTGGGCCCTTGAGCCCAAGGGCGTATTATGACCTAACTTCTCTCCTTTTGCGACCAAGGGTTTCGAAATTAACGGATTCGAACGGTTCGAGAGGTAAGGAAAATATCTTAGGGTCTCACGATATATCAGGTCTTTCTTTCTATTTAATTGTAAGGGTTTATGCGTTCTATTATCCAATTGATCTTTTTCTAATAATCTTTTCTAACTGTCGCCTGAATATTCATGATAATTTAAGCGAATGATTACAAAAGTGATTATAAAAGCGAAAGATTATGCATGATAATTTACACGAATGTAAAATTTGTATTTTTGCTTCATGTTCTGAAATATTCTCATGCGACACATTGCGCGGAAAATTTTCTATATGTCGAAACTTTTCGGCGAAGTAATCTTTTTCGGAAAAGTAATCGCTCCGTCGTTCACTAGAATAAAATTGGAGCAAAATTCTCGAGACGTTTTCATCCCGCACGGGAGCCTTGGGATAAAAGATCTTCGACGGGGCTCAACCGCCTTAAAAGCTCCTGGGCAAGGATGCTTTCTATCGATGCAACCTCTTCTTGAGTCGACATCCTTTTTCATTATTCATATCGAACCCCCGCATATGGCGTTCCCGTCCTCTTCTCTTCTCTCACTTGTCACGTTGCCTCGCGAAAACGAAATGTGACATCGGTCGTGGGGACCCGCCCGAGCGTGAATTTCCCGATGGATTTCGATTGAACAAAAGCTGGAAGCTCTCAGAAAGCGACTTCTTTCCTCAAAACGCGTAAATCTGTTTGCGTTACAAATTGAAATGCATTTGAATAAAAAAAATTATCTTCATCTTACATGTTTATACGAAATAATGTTTTATCAATGATACACGTCTTTTAAAAAGCCTTATCGCACATGAGAAAAAAATATTGAGACACAATGTTGTAATCTTTTTTCATTCTTTTGTTAATGGATGATTCTCTATCTTGTTATATGTATTCTTTTATATCCCGACATATCTAGTCGTCTATTTCCTTTCGCAATAAAAAAGTAACGTTGTACTTTCGAAGATATTGAATTGTGGTATAAAATTCTGATCAATTCGGCGAGCAACGATGTGATTTCCCGAAACTATTAAAGTTAAGGTCAATTCGATGTCAAATTGTTTTGTACAATGAGAGACTCAGAGATATGGTCGACGCGGGTTTAAGGACGCTGGTTAGGAAAACCGGATCGTTCGACTGCCTCGATGGTACGGGGCGTGCCTGTTGTTCGAGTCGATGGATCCACTCCGTTGCAAGAAGAAGGGCTTAGCGAACGGATGATAAATAATGACCGGCGGATATGCATTTATCAAAATGCAATTCGATGCAGATAGAAGCGAGTAGTGGGTGTAAATGGAAAAGGATTCGCGCGCGTCTATCGTCTCGCGGCAGTTTAAGTGAAGCAAAGAGCTGAAGGATGAGATTAGAAATCACCAGAAGTGTCGGGATAAGATTCTAACTATCTCGGTGCATATTATGTAAACTGTAAATTAGAATAGAGGGGGGAAATAGAAGTACGCTCTTTGGACCAAAAAATTCTCTTTCTTCTTCTCAAGAGAGAGAGAGATGAGTATGCAAAGTATTTGCATCTTTCTTCCGTCAGTGAAACCTGATCCTTCCAACGGAAGTAAATATTAACTATGTCTAATCAAATATAGGAATATTGTAAACAGAAGTAAATATGTGATGGTAAATATTAGTTATTCTTTCTTATGTTTGCTTGTATCTTTCTTTTAGACACCATTAGTTTTAACGCTGGCAGAATTTTTGTACAGAAAGAGAATTTTTTTTCGCAAATTCTTATATTTATCTTTATAATTTAAACTACACCATTTCGTTCTTCAAATTTATAATTCGCAACCAAAACATGCAAAACAGGAATGAAAAAGGATCTTATTCAATTTCAGCTCAATTATGATGTTATACTAACAATAAGACTCGATTGCACCGACAATTTAAAATCGCTATTTGTGAATCATATCCAATAATATTATCACTGATTTGATAAAAGGGTAGAATGATTGAAATGCGCGACGCGAGTTATATTCACTAGAGCGAATCGTGTGATTGATAATGTCGCATTAGCTCCTATTACACGATGAAGGCGATTGTATTTATGCTAATTAACGCGGTGGTATTATTTCAACTCTGATGCCCGGCAGCAATTGGGGAGCGGTTGTAAGAATCTTTCTCAAAGGGGTAATTAAGGCTACGTTCAACTAACAAGTAGCACGGCAATTTATTAGCAAACTACGGCACTTCGTCATCGCAACGCTGCTATTAAAACAGAAACGCAATCGATAATCTCAATGCTCCTAGCAATCGCGCACGTCCGATAAATTAACTATACTCAGACGTGCGATGTTATTTTGGTCAAATATTTGCTCGTCAATGATAACTCTGATTTATCGTGTGTGTATTAATGCGTGAATAACATGTATATATTTTATCATAGATATGGTAATTTATGACAAAATCGCATATGAGTGAGTAAATTGAAATTCTCGAATATTGGCATTAAATATATATTTTTCCTCGTTATTTATCCCCGTATCCGTGATTAAAATGAGATTTTGGAAATTTCATTTTTATTCTCGACGACGATATTAGTGCAGAAATAATAAAAAAATCCTATATCTTTTTGCGTAAAGCGCTACCGTTGTATAGTTTATCACGAAAAATGTGCGAAAGGTGAGAAACAGGTAGGTAATGATGCATCGCGGTCCGCGTAATTTTCAATTTCAATCTCCTCTGCAATCAATCGCGAGAAATTCGACGATTTAAACGATGTAAAAAAGAAAACACACACACACACACCGTAAAAGCATCGTTGTCGAAAAATGAGCTCGCAAGTCCGTGCTTCATCTCTGCGTTCTTATCGTGTCTCGACAAAAACCGAGTGCGCAAATGCTGCGCCACTGGACATCCGCGCGTCGGGGCAATTTTAATGGTACCAGGCCCCGGTCCCTCTTTCCCCCTAGCCGGTCGCCGAATTCGGGTACGAGGACCTCTGGACGA